ACCCACTTGTTTCCCGATTTCTTGTAGATATGCACGGTGTTATCGTTTGGACATAAGGCCAAGTCTTTAAAAGAATGGAGTTTAAATGTATTTTAGACGTTCTTAACTTTACAAGTTATGCAGTTGGACGGAAATAACCTTAAAGCTTTATATTTTGCAGCAGCAAGTTTGACTTACTCGTGCGGTCCTTGTTAAACGTGAAACAGGTTATAGGAGTTGWRGTAATCTCGTGCACTTCTTTCCCGCTCATGATGATARCGTTGTAAAGCTRTCCTGTGCCTTAAAATTACTAAATTAATCGGTTTTTCGCCGTGGACTCTGGTCAGTCTACACGACAAAATGGCTTCTCGTATGTGTAGCTTCCGTCTTCCCACCCACTGATCTAAGGTTCTTGTCTATTGGACAAATTCTAGCCAATGATAATAAATCTTAGAAATGTTTATATTTTGAAAAGTTGGAAAAAAAAAAATAAAAGGTGCATCTACTGTTAAAGAAGCTGATTTATTTTGACATATTTATATATTACAATAAAGAAAAAGAGAGGGAGGGAAAAAAAGAAAAAAAAATGATGAAGTGTGGAAATGACTCAGGCGTTCCTGGTATAAGCGCGCGCCTAAGGCCCTGGAACGAGAGACGTTTTCTGGCGCTTGGTGCAGAACGTAGGAATGGAGAACGTGGAATTTCTGAGATATATTAACCAGAAACAAGTTCGAAGCGTGTTGAGATATCCAGATCTAATTGCAGCAGTAGAAAATGCCTTAAGAGATTTCTCAGATCGTCAAAATGGTAAGGTAGTACAGCCAGTGAGAACCGCCGTCAAAGTAGCTGATCACAATGGGTGAGTTTTACAGAAAAACTTTTCTTTCTCCTCAAACACGGTCTTCTTCTCTAGATYKRTGTTTTAAATTGCTTAATTGCAAACGGAATAATACCCTTCCGTTTAGAACAATGGGCAATATCTTCCATACAGCCAGAGATACTGGTGAATAATAATCAGCCATTCCAGTTATCGTCAAATTGACACAGTTTGAGAATATAGCACCTGTCAGATAATATTGATAATAATGTAATGCCACAGTATTGTCTTTTRCACTATTTGCAGTTAATTGTTTCAYAATATCTTTAAATATTTTTTGTATGCAGTTGTCAACTATTGTGAAGATTTCATTGATGGTCTTGGTTTATCKTGTATTATTTTCAGGATTTTTGCAGGAATGCCAGCATATGCAGGACGAAATCAAGCTCTTGCAACTAAATTAGTCWGTATTTATCCTGAGAATGAAAAGAAGGGTCTTTCATCTCATTTATGTCACATTTTACTGTTTAATCCAGAGGATGGGACTTTGAAAGCTGTAAGTTTTTCACTATGAATGTTTTTGAATGTGTCAAAAGTAATGTAACTACAGATGCAATGATGAATTTGTAGTGGTGTTATTGCAAACACACATGAATATGATGTCTAATGGTGTGTACATGGATTGCCTTACAGATAATGGACGGAGAGGTCATTACGGCAATGAGAACTGCAGCAGCATCAGCTGTTGCCACAAATGTATGTATTTGAAAATATATTACTCTGTGGAAAGTCATTTCTGTTGCCTCCCCTGGCACAATTGCAATTCATAGAATTATGTTATTATAATGCCCTTATATTTCTTAATTTTTTTCCTAGCACTTGGCGAGAAAAGACGTAGAAGTATTGGCAATTCTTGGGTCTGGTACTCAAGCAAGAAGTCACATTGAAGCTTTGAAGCACATTAGAACATTTTCAGAAGTAATTATTATATGTAATTATATTGATTATTGCTGAAAAATGTTCATTCCAAGACAAATCTTCCTCAGGTAAGAGTGTGGAGTCGTACAGAAGCAAATGCAAAGAAATTTGCCGATGAATACAATGCTAAGTGTTGTAAAACAGTCAAAGAAGCTGTTGATGGAGCAGACGTCATTGTCACAGCTACATTTGCTGTTAACCCTATCTTGGAAGGAAAATGGGTCAAGCATGGTGCTGTTATTAATGGTGAGTATTTGAAGTGACTGAGCAACAACCTCCTTTAATTTTCCAGCCTATTAGTTAGTTAGTTAGTCAGGCGGATGACTCCGAGATTCCAGCCTATGTTGTCAGGAAATGCCACTCCTGTGGCTATGCAAAAAAAGCTCCTAATGGAGTGATCTGATGTCAATATGATATTTATAATTACATAATTATTATAGCTGTGGGGGCACCTACTCCCAGTTGGCGCGAGCTTGATGATGATGTAATGCAAAATAGCTTTATTGTTGCTGACAGCTTGGAAGCTGCAAAAGTAGAATCTGGAGATGTAATTCATTCCAAGGTAAGATGTACTTGATACTATTGAGGTRCATGGAAATGAAGCTYAATTC